AGTCGAACTAAAGTAGCCAATCCAGAGGTATCAACAAGTTTTACCGCATCACGTTGGATTGAAGGTTTTTTGGAAACTTGGATCTGAGGTGCAGTTAATGTCCTTGATCGTACTGCATTTGTATATCGACGACTAGCTCTTTCACGTAATGCATTGGCTTCTGCAACTATTGCTGGTGGCAATGACGCTAGCACCATTTCGTCCTGTTCAAGAAGAACTGTTTGTCGTAATTGTGGATCTAAAGAAGCGAAAAAACTTGCAGTGTCCATGTCAACAGCAGCAGGTTCCGAAGTTCGCTGACGAATCATTCTTTCTTGTTCAAATGCTTCTTCTTGTTGAATTATTTCTTCCCTGAGGTCATCTGGAAGAGCAGCAAGAAATTCAGGACTAATAGCATCACCAGTTCCACTAGTAACTGGTGGCCTATTCCGCCTTTCTGGCGGCAAATTTTGGTTAAGTACCTCCTCTCTAAGATCGTCGGGTAACGCTTCGAGAAAGGTTGGGTCTATACCAGTACCAGTAATGTCCACAGGGCGACCGTTAACCATAACTGTAGTTCTTGTTGCTTGAACTTCACTTGAGCCTTCAACTGTATCTTCAGTTGCCTCTTGAGACTGGCTAGTATCTGGAACTACCGATGGTCCTTCCTCCATATTAAGATCACTAGTAACTGGAGCAGGTTCATCTTCCATCTCTATAGATTCCCCTGAAAGTTCTTGCTCTTGTTCGATTATTGGCGCATCTTCTTGCATAGGATCAATAAGTTCAATTACTTCGGTAACTTCGGTGATTTCAACTATTTCATCATTATTGGTTATTGTGTCAGACATTGATTGTTCAGCTATAGTTTCTGGTTGAGGAACGACTGTAGCAGCAGCAGCAGCAGCTTCCTCAGCTTCTCTAATTCTCAATTCTTCTTGCTCTTTTCTTAATCGTTCAGCTTTCTCTTCAGCCTTTCTTTCTTCTTCCTCGCGAAGTCTCCTTTCTTCCTTTTCTTTTTCCTCTTTTTCTTTTCTCTTCTTTTCTTCTTCTACTCTCTTTTTTTC